TCCTTTAATTGACCGCTTCCCCCTTCCTGAAAATTGTATCTTTGTATATTCAATAAAAGGAAATAAAGAATGAAAAAGAAAAAAACCAAACTGGAAGCAAGGGGTTTCTTGAATGAAGACCACGAAATCAGTTTAATCGATGCTCGGGGACACCGGATGTACTGAACAGCGGCGCTCGCGCACCTACTCCATATACTTGTAACCTTAGTCTATCTCGATTTTTTCTCTATTTTCACGTTGCTACTGCTTTTAACATTTCGATCTTCTCCCTACGCCCTCACCTAAATGGGTAGCCAAAACTGACGCAGGAGATTGCACGGTTATTGGTCGTACAGATTGTTTCAGTTTCAGTTTGTTTGCGCCAGACTACGCGGAAATCAATGACCGAGGATAGAAAACATTAGAGAACGCTCTATATGGCTTCTCAAATGTTGGCATTAAATGACCTGATTCCGGGGAAGAACCACCGAATCAAGATATCGCCCAAAGAAATTCGTTTTACACCGTCCATGGTAAAAACAAACGGTAGTCAGTGCCTGAGCTTCACAACACTCACCCGGATGGTTTGAGGCTTTTCAATGCCGACTTGTTTTCCAATGATTTGGAAGCCATGCTCAGAAGGGAATAAATTCAGCAACACATCTGGAATACTGGATAGATGAGAAAATCAATCACATTCACGAATCAAATCAAGTCAAGAAATCGCTTTCATTCGCAAAGTGAAGCTAGCGTCAAAACTAGGTACAAGCGCTATCCGATTGAACTGCTGATCAGAATCAACAAGAACTAACAAATTGTTGGAATTGTGAAAAGTTCAGTAGCCTCGGTGGGATTCGAACCCACGCATGGACGCCGCCTACGTTTTTCTACATCACACGTTCTACCAGCTGGGCTACCAGGTCATACCGATAGCACTGATCTTTTCACATTCGAATTACCCATTCACCTTACAGAGACATATGGCATCCACCACCGAAGCTACTGAACTTTTCACAATCCCAACATAAAACTTCAATCTACCAAACAACTATTCGCACAACTAACAAATTGTCCTACACCGGAAAACAGGACGGGAAAAATAATAAAATGCTAATTCATCACGCTGCCCTATATTTATCCCTTTCGGTATTGGATTGGACAACGGTTCTTATCTAACTACTGAAAGGTGAAACCCGCAAGGCAGCGGGGCAAGCTAAAGCAATTTTGTGAAGATCTGAGCTAAAATTAGCTCATGAGTAATCATGGAGTAGTCGGCAACCGTTATGCAAAAGGCTCAGGATTGTTTCACCATGCAATAAGCACAACCTCCAATAAATCCCACTTCAGATTTATGAACATTTTACGCATTTTTTTATTTCAAGACGGTTACTTAGTTCTGCTCAAATAAGGCATAAATGTAGGTGCTTCTTTTCTTCATTATGAACTGTTCCCTGTTTTATTGAACACATTCTATTAATACGGGATTATTTATGGCAAATATCAATCGTGTAAAACTCTACAACTTCGACAAAGTTTTGAACTGAACAAACCATACCACAACACAAACAAAAAGAATAAATCATTTTTGTGGATATTTTTATTTGACGGATATTTTCTTTACAAAATCTCGTAGATACAATGCTGGTGGTAGTACCACGAACGCGTCCAACTCGGGATGGTAGGAGACGGAATTATAGGAATCAACTCGACCGTGTATCGGTCCGACGTTTGAGTGATTTACGTTGAGTTGGTCGTCGACGACTTCGATGGTGTCCATGCGCTCGGACTGCAGCGGCTTGTGCCACCAATTCTTTGGCCCATGTCGATGGCTGTCGCAAAAGCCGACGACGTTCACCGATATCACTCACTTCGTCATCGTTCGTTGATAGGGATATAGATGTCGTTCTTCTCGACCGTCGTTTAGTTGGGGTAAACTGGGAGCATATCCCAACTACCTGATCAGTTACAGGATCCTCAGGAGGAACAGATTCGAGGACCAAATCAGGAAACATTTGAAAACCACGGGAATCATCAACAGCACTAGCTTCACTGCTATCGAGATCGTGATCGGTCGGTTCTTCTTTAGTCGTTTCGTACTCCTTTTCTACTCTGTTCAGTTTTCTTAGTGTATCGAAGACTTTGTTCAAACATCCCTGAAAAACAAATATGAAGAAACAATAAACAACGCTACCGTAATTGAGGAATTAAACTAATCTACGCGAGATTAAAAAAACATGCATGCATGTCATCTCAATTTTCATTCCCGACCAATTTTCGGTTAATCAAACCTGGCAATCAAAAAGCAAAACAGAATTACCCAACTGTTCACCTCAGATTAAAGATTAGCGAAAAAATTCAGCTCGAAAAATAGATGCCCATACCATATACAGTCAATCTCCTGCTATGTCGGGCCCCTGAGAAGTCGCATTTTTTAATATCTTCCCACGTTTTCGAAGACCCAAACCAACCGTATGCTTAATAACGTACTTTTTGACTATGCGATGTCGCACTCCTCAATATGTCACAGTTCCTGATACTCAGTTGGGTGTTGGCCGATGTTCCGGACGACCACTGACTATCCATCCTGAAATGCCGCACTCGACCAATGACGTTGCACCTAGTGTGACGCGTTCATGGCACTGTTCACTGATTGGACAATCCTTGCGAGGAAGTCACATCGATGTAAGTGATCGGAGACAGTGTCATTTGATGTCAAAATGTGCAAGCGCCTATCTATCAGAGAGAATCCGAATGTGTTGGAAATGCTGGAACAGCCAGGTGCAACTCAGAGCTCCGTAGCCAAATCACTTGGAATTTCATCAAAAACTGTCTGCGATTTTCTGTCTCATCGAACGACTATCAGGGAATTTATGAATGCTGGAGCATCTGAGGAAAGATGCCACCGGAAAACAAACGAAAAGTTCAAGGCATTGAATGAGGTAACTTTGGCTTGGTTTACTGCTATGAGGGAAAAGCACGGAGAGTTCCCAATGGTGGACAGCATCGAACGTAAGAAGGCAATCCAGCTAGCTCAAAGATTGCATCAGAATGATTTCAAGGCTTCCAAAGGTTGGTTTCGGTCTTGGTCAGACAGATACAGTATTCAATAGTACAAAGTAAGAAACAACCAACTCATGTGTATTACTTTATAGGTGGGAAAAGTTTAGCGAAACCACGTGATGCAGTGGATGAGTTTCGAGAGGGGTTACCGCAGTTGATACATGGATATGCTGAGTGTGATATTTTCAATGTAGATGAGACAGCTTTGTATTACAGGCAGCTCCCAGAAAGAACATTAAGTCTGAAAGGAAAGACAGTTTCTGGGTCCAAGAAATCCAAGGAGAGGGTCACGTTACTGCTTTGTGGGAGCATGACTGGAGAAAAGTTATCACCGCTGGTGATTGGAAAATTTCAAACTTCACGATGCCTCCGAGGTATAGATGGAAGAAGCCTTCCATGCAGTTAGCATTCTTCAAAGAACGCATGGATGACTTCTACGCTAATTCACAGTTGACTGTCCGATGCCAACCGCAAAATGGTTTATCAAAGGCGCCCTATTTTACTATGTATGCAAAACATGCCTTGCCATAACCAAGCCGCAGTATTCTCCAACGGCTGTCTTTGAACTGCTCTTCAATGTTACAACCGATGGATCAGGGCGTGATTTGATCTTTCAAATGTTCGTTTCGGAAACATTTACTGGAATGTGTTTTGTCTTTGATCGAAGATGAGCATTTTATCGTGAAACTCTAGGTGGTCATTCTCATGGCCATGCATCTGGTCAGGAAAGCTTGGGTGTCTGTGCACTCGCACTTACTGATCAACGCTTTCATTAAAGCTGGGTACAAATCCATATTGATGTATCCGGTGATGCAGTCACCAGAGGATAAATGTGATTGATCGAGGAATTTACTCATTATGTGTCTATTGATGACCGTCTTTTTGAAGGAGAAATCGCCTGTTTGGAATTTGATGATGAAGAGGTAGGTTATTTAACATTTTTGTATCAAGTCTCTTTTTTAGTCATTAGATGAATTCGTTTCGAATCAAGCTACGCATCGAAAAGAAGATGACTGTGAGGCAGTGAATGCGTCGGAAGTTATCTCAATCAGAGAGGGGCACAAGTCATTGGAAGCTGTTTGCTTTGGCTAATGCTCGGAGTTTGGTTCGATTATTGGAGTGTACAATTGATTTAAACAGCGCGTTTGTTGATTTTCAAAGGAGAGACAAGCTGAGACAAACGACCATTTGTGATTTTGCTAAAATTACATCTGTGTAATCTGCAAAGATTTTTGGCAATTCTGTGGGGCACTCGAATGCGGTCATTTTTGCTCTAGAGGTCACTAAAGCCAAGGTCGTTAGGTCTATCGATGGGCTCTGTCGCCCTAACGTGCAAACGGGTGAACGATGATCCCGATTGACTAGTAAGCGGGTGAGTGGAGTGAGAGGTCAGATCCGAGCGATCGACAACCACCGTCGCACGGACGCGGCTGCGTTAATGAATGAAGGATACTCTCACTTGTCCTAGAGCACCGATGAAATGAGACAGCTCAGTGGCTAAAGGTCAGCGGAACCCGGGTCTACGGACAGTTTGTGAGATGTACTGTTAGTTTATGAATCGGTAATTCCTTGAGTTTCCGTAATTCCTGTAGGCTGGCGTCTACGGCCTGCGGTTGGCTGAACAGGAGCGAATTTCTTCCAGGTAAACTCCCGTCTTACGCTTTCCGGGAAATTTGCGCGGGAACCCACTTAAAAAAACAGTGCGTGTATCTTAGACGAGTCAAAAGTTGTCCCAGTGTCATCATCGCTTGAACTTTTTCATTCCGAATCTCCTACATGGCGCATCGTTCCACAACTGATTCTCCTGTGGTGATTCTCTATCAACACTTAAACAGTATCGGTTTCAGAACTTTGCCTTGTCCTATGCCAGCCCGAAAATCACACAACCTATCGAGCTCATTTATCGACCGGATAGTTCAGCCGCAACAAGGGACCTGGTGCTTGCTCAGTTAACCCGAGGGAGAAACCACACCTTGTCTTCAGCAGCGAGTCTTCAGCAGATCCGGTGAAGTTCGACTGTACAACAGACGTGCCATCACCACACGGATGAACTGCACGTGACAAGATCATCAAAAAAATACAATAAATAATAATAATAATAATAATAATAATAATAATAATAATAATAATAATAACTATGTCTCTTTACTTTCTTTATTTATTTATTGAATGTACAAATGTACATTCAGCATTCAGGAAGGGGGGTCGCGACCATACAAAGGCTCCCTGGGAAGACGGGCGGTGGTGGAGCGGTTCGAACCCGTGACTCACAGGTCACAAGTTGGTGACCTAACCACCGCTCCAGACAATGTGAAACGATGAAGTAATCGAACTACCGTACTATCCACATAGCAACATCACATCTTAAATTGAAAAAGGTATGGTTTATGAATTACGTTATGGAATCTCGTGTTGAACTTAGTCCGACCAACAACGGTAATGATGAATACATCGATCGGTTTGCACATACACTGGTAACAACAAAAGCGAACGAACGAATAGATGTCTGCGGACGCTAATGATACACATTTGTCAATTAGAAAATCACGAATAGATTGCACAGCGAACAATCAGTTTGAATATGAGAAGGAAGTCAATGTTCTGAGTATACCTCGTGATAGATATTTCACTCATTTTAGATGTTATTTTCTTCTCACTGTATTTTAACTGGTTCAACTTTGTTTTCCCTGAATGGGTTAACAGTGATGTGATTATTATGACTAAAACAGTTATAACATGGTGGACGCCATATAATGAATTCTGTGGTTAGCCTAACATTGCAATGGAATGGAGGAATATCTAGAATTAATATGGGATAACTGGGTGAAAAAGTTCCCCTGAAGAAAGGTAGGTAGTTTCGGGATAACTAGACACATAGAACTGAAAAAGGGCTGAATACCGCATGCAATAAACCGACATTAAGCTGAGGGCGACATAAAATATTTAACTTTCTTCGGTACATAAAGGATACACGGGACAGCTGATCTAAATTCCCTTACAAATAAACAGTTTATAATTATAATCATTGGGAACAACTAACGGGATTAACCTACTTTTCATCGATCCGGTTTATTTTTTCACAAAACTGTCAACCGATTTTTATACTACTTATTAACATCTACTACTGTTTACCCTGCTATGCCGCAGGCCCTGGAATTTACCCACTTTTTCGAATTCCCAAGGGGTGCGACATAGCAGGAGATTGACTGTACCACACAGAACACATCCACGCAGTTTGTGAAAGCACGATTTGATATGGTTATATACATACAGTAGCTTCGAAAAACTCACTGGGTATGTGATGAAATTTAGACCTGGTAAGAATTCTTCTGTCTCCTCCGATGCCTCATTTGAATCATCTCTAAATTCTACCTTCACGTTGCTCGTTGACGGAGAGTTAAGTGAATATTTGGCTTCGGTATATCTCATCAAACTAGTGTCTAACGACTTGAGGGCATCATTGAGTGCAGTACGTGATGTGTTATCTAATTGAAGCAGTTTCAAACAGGCTTCCATTCGATTAGTTGTTTTTCTGGAATGTCCAGTTGACATTTCTGGATGCGTTTGGCCTTCTCTCGTCGTTCCAGTTGGAGGCTTCTGGCTAGTCAGTGGGCTATCAAACAATGGGACGCCCGGATAGAGCATTTGGCGGGTGGCACAGAAAGCAAACGCACCCAGTGCATTCAGTTGCCCGAAAACATAGTACACATCCAAATGGCCTTCATCACGAGCTTCAGTGGACAACTGAAGAAGTGCTTTCCAGCTTTCCGGACAAACGCGTATCCGCACCTAGAAAAGAAATACGCGAAAAGTGAGATAACCGTTTTACCATTTTATCAAATAACAATAAACACGCGGTATCATGTGTCTGTATTGAAAGCTTCAAAGACGTATCTCGTTTTATCACACGAACATCAGCTTTTCTTCAGGAAACGGGACTATAGTTGCCAGGATATATGCTGCCAACTAACAAAAATAGCTAAATGGGTATCAAAGGGTCACTAGTGACCTCATAAATAGAATCCAATAGAGAATATGGGAATCTCAAAACAAAACAAATTTTAGTATTCCGCATGTAATGGGAGTTGGATTTAGTGTTTAAATTTGAAGCAAACATTGATATTCCTTGAATTGTATTTCACAGCCAGTGCAATGCCCTTTGTTAAAGGTATCTTTCAATGCTCGAAAATTTACATGATAAACAAATGAATTGAATTTAGCGCACCAAAATTTTCAGGACCTCCACTGAAATCGCTTATCCAACAGTTCATTTTCACAAGCCAATCTGAATATGATGAACAGCACATTGATTCATCGTATCGCTACTCGCATTTTCTAACCGGGCCGACCGAGGTCAGTTGACGTGGTGCGTTCACTCTCGCTTGAAGCCAAATTGGCCCGTCAACGAAGACAAAAGGATACCAGCTTTAGTGCACACATACGCAAACGTCTCCGTCTGGATCGAAGTTTTCTTCACAGTCTACTACTAGTGGCATTCTCAAGATCTTTGTTCAAATAGCGCTGATCGTGGGGGGGGGGGGGNTTGTGGTCTGCGAAGCGAAAAGCTGCAGTTCAGTCTACCCGAGCCTATTGCCTTGGATACAAAGACCTACTTTTTATTTTAAACAACCAGCCCAGACCATTTAACAGTTTAGTAACGCTATCAATCAGGCAAGCTGTGTCTGGTGTTGAATAGCCGTACTTCAGGAGGGACACCGATACAGTATCACGTGATCCCAAAGGCTACTTCGCTGACCAGTCTGTAGATGTGTTCGAGCGTTCGTGTGCTCTACCTCAAAACTCGATTGCTAATGGACTGTTGGAAATGTTGGCCCGGCTCAAAGGAAAGCAGTGTGTATCGTTCTGTAAACGTTAGCCCTGTCCATTATTGATTGGCTACGTCACACATGTCAATTGGACGGGAGCCAGAACATCTCACCGTCATCTATGCTGGAATTAACAGAAATGCACACGCGCATACTCGGAGGAGGAAAGGTGCGCGCGTGCGCTGGTGCACGTCCGCTGGATTCAGGTTACAAACAAATCTACGAAAAATATCTGTGATTTTTAACTACTGCTTGTGTTCGCAGTAGTGCAACTGAGAATGCGACTTTCGCTCATAAACAATCAGACGAAATCGGACGTATTAAATCTACTGATGTTTATATATGGTCAGATAGTCATTCATCAGCATCATCATGGTACAGCACAATACAGAGAAGGGAACTTCACTGTGATATATATATATATATGACAGTTTGGTAAACAACGATGTTGATTGTTGTTTTTGTAGCTCGGGTGGTATAATATGATGTTCGAGGTGACATTCTCAATGCACCTCGATTGGTGATGAAACGTTTGCAATACAATGGCCAAGCTCGGCGAACAACTGAATATATATATATATATATATATATATATCAGAGAATCTGAAGACATATTTGCGTGTACGAAAACTACCACGAATAATAAATGGTAGGAGATTTTTGCATCTGACTTATATGATAAAATAAAAAGCTTACATGATTTCTCACGGGCTGTTTTCCATAGAAGGCGTATAACATATAGAGGGCACAAATCCGCTCGATCTGTTTTTTTCCTGATTCCAGTAGAATCCGATCAACAAGGCGATGGAAAGTACAGGCTAAGACATCATACAGACCAGCTTGATGCCGTCTGCCATAAATTATTTCCATGAACCGTTCGTGTCTCCATAGTTCAGCAAATTTGGTAAACCTCAAACTGCCAAGCGCGGAAAATCTTGTAATAAATTCTGAAATATCTTCATCAATGCCTCGGATTGGATTGAACAGAGTTTGAAATGCATAAGTGTCCTTCGAAGGAGAAAAGCGCATAGATTTCTCAAAATAATATAGGTCTAACCGCTATCATTAACTCACTTCATCCATTTATTTTGTTGTTCGTCACGTGATGCGGACGTAATTGAGGATATTTCGGAAAGCAAAACTTGTCAAGTTTCTACAAATGTGAACAGATGACAATAATAGTTTAAAGTGAACGCATCAAACTAGACGGACAAAGCCGTTGGTTGAATCTTTTCCATTGTAAAATAGCTTACGACTGCGAACTCAGAGGTTTGCAGTTGTGAGCTAAAATGGTCTTCTTTCACTGACCAGTGAATGTAAATCATGGAGTGTATTGTAAGCCTCTAGAAACCACAACCGGTAATACGCTATATTTATCTATCTATCTATCTATATATATATATATATATATGTGTGTGTGTGTGTCTTGATACATTACAAAATGTCAAGTCAATTCAATTTAAGCTTTCTACACCCAACAGGGTGAATTTTCAGCAATGTGGACAAGTAACAGTGAAGAAAACGCTGAGCAAAACAACAGAGTGGAGAACAAGCGCGTTTTTAGAGATTCGTATTCATACCAATACATCTCAATGCATATCACTACTTAGGAATAAAATGGTTTTTGGGAAAACAAAGTAAGATCACACTTCAGTAGAAACGATCTCCTCGTAAGATCGGAAAACGGGTTCAACAGGATCACAAATTTGTTTGTTCACGCATAACATCATCGAGATTACTCGTGATACGGTGTGTGTGGGGGGGGGTGACACAGGGAAGCTTTAACGCTTGCACAAATTGTTTTTGGGAACAGAGGGAGGGAGGGGGTTGTGCAGACGAATGCCCACCGATTCTGCTGTAACCAGCATCCGAAAGTGAACCTGCCTCGATAATCGCCTAAGAGATTTATACAGGGGGCGAAAAGCCTCGGAAACGTCCACTGGTGTGAAACCATTACAGTGATGCGTGACTTAATCGTTCCGGTGTTCAGTCAAGCAGGGTGATGTTCACGTATCTGTTCGGACAATNTACTTTATTTCACAGGAAAAAGTAAATGAGTACACAGAATGACCGCAGAGTCTGGAACATTGTCCTACGGTCGCAGACAAAATTGGCTTGGACGTGAACAACACACGACGCTTGGATGCGTAGAAAGTCATATCGATTGCATTCAATATTCTTTGTATGGTCTTAGCCCCTTTTGAAGAGCCAAGAAATGTACAGGAATTCTTTTTCTTAACTTCGATGATTTGTTAAGAGTTTTCCGTGCACTGAATCATTTTGTTGATTAAACGTTCCGGATACGTTACGTGCGAAGATCGATTTTATAGCACGGAGCTCTTCTTCTACTGTCCTCATTGCAGATCTTTCTTGCTGTATCCGATAGGCAACGAATCC